GAGGTCCAGGAAGGGGAGAGAGGTGTTAGAGATGGTCCAGGTAAATTAATTAAGAGTTGCAATAAACAGAGCTAAGCAAACCCACAGCCATTGGATCAAGTGTAAGCTCTGCAGTCCTGTCACACTCGGTTGTGAATGATGACGAACAATTAAACTAATAAGCGGTTAAGGGCCATAGATATCCCAGTTCTCGACAATGGGAGGATCCAGCACATCAGTGGAAAAGGCCAGACTGAAATATTTTCATCCACCTTCACTCACAATGGGCAAGTGGATGATCTAACCTGGCTCCTCTGGAGGTTCTAGTATTACAGATTCTAGTCTTCAACCAATTCAATTCACTCCACATCATCACACGAAACAGTTGAAGGCACCAGATATTGCAAAGACAATAGGCCCTGACAATATTCCAGCAATAGAACTAAACACTTATGCTTCAGAACTAGCCACAACCGAGAAACGTTTCCAGTAAAGGTGCAACACTAGTGTCTATCCAACAATGTAGAAAATTGTCCTGATATGTGCTATGCACAAAAAGCAGGAGAAATCTAACCAGCCAATCACCATCTTATCAGTCTACTCTTCATCATTAACAAAGTGATGGAAGGGACCATCGACAGTGCTAAGTTCCACAAGGACCATTCAATCCCTGACCTCATTACAGCCTTGGTCCAAACGTGGAAAGAAGAGGTGCACTCCACAGAGCCCTGCCAAAACTGGAGGAATTGGGGGAAAGCCACTTGGGTGGGTGGAATCTTACACAGCACAAAGAAAGATGACTGTACTTGTTGAAGTCAATCATTAGAACCCAGATCACTGCAGGAGATTCTCGAGGTAGCATGCTAGGCCCAATCATCTTCGGCTCCTTCAACGAACTTCATTCCATCATAAGGTCAGAACTGGAGACGTTCATTAATGATTGCATAAAACTACAGCATCATTACAAATATCTCAGGTACCAAAGAAGTCAGTGTTCGTATGTAGCAATATCAGGACAACATCCAGACATGGACTAGCAAATGGTAAGTAACATTTGCACCTGTCATCACTGAAAATCCCACTATCAATATCCTGGGGGAGGGTACAAGTTAAAAGAAAATGAATTGGACCAATCAAATATATAGTGTCGGTACTAGATCAAGTCAGAGTCTAGAAACTCTGCAGCAGTTAATCCATCTGCTGCTTTCTGGACACCTGTCCACCATCTACAAGGCGCAAGTTAAGAGTATGATACAAAGCTGTCCACTTGCCTTCTTGGATGCACTGGCAATCACAGTGAAGAAACTTGACAATATCCAGAACAAAGCAGCCTGCTTAACTTTACCTCAGCCACCACTTTGACATTAATTTCTTTCACAGCCAACAGACAGTAGCAATAGTGTGCATCATCTACAAGATGCAGTAGATTACCGAGGTTTCTCCACCAACACTTAAGGATTAAGACAGCAGGTGTATGGGAACACTGCCACCTGTCAATTTCCCTTCAAGCCATCCACACCACATTGAAGTAGCATTCTTTCACTGTCACAGTTCAAAATCCTCAAACTCACTTGCTAATATTCCAAGGACTACATTCGTTCAAGAAGTTAGCTCACCACCTCTTTCTCAAGGACAATTAGGGAATGATAATGAATGCTATCAATCACAATGGAACCAGTGATTCTGATCATGTCCAAATACTAATTGGAACCTGGGAAATAATAGAATATATCTCAGTAGTTTTAATTAGCAAACAAATGTTTTAATTAATATTTTGTAAAAGTAACTTACAATACTAAGATATGATAAATAACACTAAAACTAAGAAATATAACTTATTCAGAATTAGAATACTAATAATATACTGGAATCTGGATTATTTAAACTTACAAAAAGGAAGAAGGCTGTAACCAAGAATACATTGGTTCAATGGATTCCCATTTCTTTCCATCTATAAAGTCAATAAAGTCATTCTTCATTCTAGGGCCTTGATATTTTCTAAACTCTCCATCCTTACAGCTGAAAAAGAAAACAGAAAATAACTATAAAACACTGAAGTAAACAGATTTTTTCACTATTCTATACTTGGACAAAACTAATTCAACAGTTAAAGTAATCTGTCATGGAGGCAATGGTCTAGTGGTATTATTGCTGGACTGTTAATCCAGAGACCAAGATAACGTTCTGGGTTTGAACCCTACCACAGCAGATAGTAGAATTTGGATTCAATAAATATCTGGAATTAAAAATCTAGTGATAACCATGAATCCGTTGCCAACTGTCAGAAAAACCTCAGGTTCACTAATGTCCTTTAGAGAAGGAAACTGCCATCCTTACCTGGTCTGGCCTACATGTGACTCCAGACCCACAGCAATGTGGTTGACTCTCAACTGCCCTCTGGGCAATTAGGAATGGGCAATAAATGCTGCCTAAAAGTGATGCCCTCATCCCGTGAATGAATAAAAAAGAAAAATCTAAATTAAGTGCCATTTAAAATGGCTACAATCTAAGTATTTGAATATTATTTTTCAATTCTGTTCTTTGTCCTTAATATAAAACAAGGTTGTATTTTACTTGTCAACATGCACATTGGTTTATAATTACAATTATGTAATGTAAATAATAATGAAAGTGAAATCATTGTATTAGCCACACCATATTTGTAATATTAAAGGTTATTTTTGGTATTATGGTAGCAAAAGCAATTTTCTTTTGATTTTTATGATAATGTCATGTTGAAGTGTTTGAGAGAGCCAATACCTTTGATCCCCTGATAAGCAAACATGCTTTTGTCAGAAAGTTCGTGGGTAGTGGAAACTGCTGCTACACAACACTCATACTTGACTCCAAATGACTGGTTGTGCATACTTGTGGCCATACCTCGGCATCTCAACTCAGCAGTCATGAAAAACAAAGTGAGCAGTCCATCATTTTTAGCTGTTGTGATGTCAGGATGCCATCCCATCACAGTGAATGAAGACTAGGAATGGCAGGTAACACAGATGATCCTAACAAGTCAGCTGATCAATAGTTCGGAAGGCACTGATGAGTGATGTTTGTAACACATTTAGGGTGCAGTTATTATGCTTAGTAAAGCAATGTGGAAAGTCACCTGTGAGGAGGCTGGGACCGCACACAGTATAAACCCCATACTTAGTCATGGCAAAGCAGATTTCCTGGTAGGAATAGCTACAAGCTGAACAGGAAATGAATAAAACATTTAACATTAACAGGCAATGAATATGATCACAGTTCTGTTTAGATACTTAAGCAAACCTTTAGAAGATACTTTGATAGATCGTTTTGTCAAAGCAAATGACATCTATGCATTTCTAACTATCCATTTAGGAGATCTGTTTATTTTCATTTTGCTTACTGCAGACTAAACATCTGCGTAGCAATTAATCCACAGTCCTATTCTGTGGTTGGAATGAAGTAACAACGACTTTTTGCATTTTCTTACTCAGGTGACTATAAACAATAACCTCAACTACTCTGACTACTAAATCTCCACAAGCATACAGTTGTTTTTCACCAGAAGGACTGCTTCAAATGCCAACCCTATTCTATGTGGCAAGGCTATCAGAGCCAGCTACTCAATAGACCACTAACACATTTGTATCTTTCAAATGTTGATCACCATTCCCAAAATGTTTCCTTGATAAGTGGTTAGCACTGCTGCCTCACAGCGTCAGAGATCTGGGTTCGATTCCACCACTGGGTGACTATGTGGAATTTGCATATTCTCCCCGTGTCTGCGTGGATTTCCTTCGGATGCTCCAGTTTCCTGCCACAGTCCAATGCTGTGCAGGTTAGGTGGATTGGCCAAGGTAAATTGCCCCTTGTGTCCAGGATGTAGGCTAGGTGGATTAGTCATGTGAAATGCGTGGTTATGGGGAAAGAGTGGATGCTCTTAGATTCAGTGCAGAGTTGCAGGGCCAAATGGCCTCCTTCCACACAGTAGGGATTCTACGAATCTTCTATCTTCTAGATCTGTTGACTCGGAAAGATCTCAAAAAAGTCATCTCTGGATACAGGGGTATGCCTCAGAGCACATTCCGGGTAGTGAGATGTAGTTGCATCTTTGGCAAGTTATACACAGTTCACTGAATAAAGGATACTCAAAGCCTTCATAATAGAAAGATTGTGGATTAAACATACTGGCCCAAATTCTGCATTACCGAGAGTTACCAAGATGCTGACAACCTTTTGTTTTGTATTGATTTCTGTCAAATGTTTAACTTTTACTTTTAAAAAAAAAAAAAAATCTGTAGTTTATATCAAAGACATGTATCTGACATCCTTAGACAGGGAAAGGATTGTAATTATGGTTTCAGACAATGTTACATTACCACACAGTGTGTACAATAAATCACATTTTTATTTATAAGGAATGCAAACTCAATTACGGATGTAATTTTAAATGGTTTAAAAAATGGCAGAAGTCCCAGTTCTGATGAAGGGTTCTGACCCGAAACGTCGATTTTCCTGCTCCCCTGATGCTGCTTGACCTGCTGACTTCCACCAGCTCCACACTGTGTTGACTCTGACTCCTGCATCTGCAGTTCTTGCTATCTCCAAAAGTCTCAAAGACTTCTTCTACATGATCAGCATAGTGCTTAAAGATTTATGTATTTGTGGATACAAACATGATATAAAAAGAACTTAGATGTAAGGAAATATACTGTACATTGTAATTTTCTTCTGTGCTATTTGTAGTTAAGCATTATATACTCACTGGTATATCGTAGGAAGAGCAGTAATAATGAAACGGCCACTCAAACCTAGTTTAAAAACACAAAACGCATTCTTAGTTAAACAAAAATAATTAAGAAACCTTAACGTCAATTATAAACAAAACAACTGTTTTATAAAAAAAAACTAAATATCACCTGGGCAGCACAGTGGCTCAGTGGTTAGCCCTGCTGCCTCACAGTGCCAAAGACCCGGGATCATTTCCACCCTCTGGCGACTGTCTGTGTGGAGTTTGCACATTCTCCCCATGTCTGCGTGGGTTTCGTCTGGGTGATCTGGTTTCCTCCCACAGTCCAAAGATGTGCAGGTTAGGTGAATTGGCCACGCTAAAATGTCCCATAGTGTCCAGGGATATATAGGTTAGGTGGATTAGCCATGGGAATTGCAGGGCTACAGGGAGAGGGTGGAGAGGGTAGAGAGGTGAGTCTGGGTAGGATGCTCTTCAGAGAGTCGGTGTGGACTTGTTGGGCTAAATGGCCTGTTTCCATGCTGTATGAATTCTATTCTATGGACTCACGTATGAAAGGGGTCTCCTACTGTTGGCAGTCAGTTTCCCCAAGTAACCAAAGCTTATTATATGTCTGTTATTTTTCAGCACATAAACTGAAAGTTTTATTCCAACACATAACTTATACAAATTTAAAAGACAGCAAGACAGTCTCATATTTATGACTCCATGTTGGATTCTGCAGATGACCAATATTAAAACTGATATTTCTCAAGTGACAAAAATGTATAATATTTCAAAGACCACATGCTGATTTATAATTCAGGCTTCTGACAAAAACATTGTTTATGAAACCTAAAGGCACTTGTCCCAGTAAAAAAGGAATAAAGACTATACCTCTTATTTTATGTAGCAACTACCTCTGCAAAGCAAAAACATTCCTCCTACAGATTATTACAACTACATCAGGAACAAAACATGGGGCATGAAATCAGAAGGGTGCAGTTATACAGATATGACACATTTGTGTGGAAAATCAGCAATAACAAAATGTTCCTTGCAGCTGAAATAACAAAATGCAACGCTTTTGCAACCATTGGTTTAACACTGGCTGAATAAAAACCTCCCTCAAGTGTGAAAATCTATCACTAAGAGTGGAAATAATAATCAGTCCTTTCAGTTCATTCACACTTCTGAAGGTTCATTCTTTACAGGAGATTTTAGTCAGGTTTTGTTCCCCACAACAAAATGCTGTTTGAGTGCAATGACACCAGCAGTGCTGAAAAGTACCTGGCTGTTCAGTTACATCCACTTTGGCTACATTAACACCCAGATCATCACTCCACTCTGCAAACTCATTCCATTCAGATTGAAGCTGCTGGCAGGCAGGGCACCAGGGGGCATAGCTGGAGATTAAAGTGGACATACAAATTAACACATGCACATAGTTATCAGAAACTCTGTATACCAACCACCGTTGTTTTTTTTGTTTTAAATTACTTTTACTTTAAGAAATCTTGTGGGTAGCAAAACACTTGTAAACTATTTTAGACATCGTAATTCATTAAAGTTTAAAGGCGGCAGGGATGTGACTGTTACAAGTCAATGCCCTCCCAGGGTGATGGATGGCCACTGGCCCTGATGTGGCTCCATCTCGGTGACTTACTCTCAGGAACACAAGTTGCTGCAAACAGCCAGGGGTGAACGGCCCAGTCCCTGACCCTCAATTCCCGCTCTCCAACCTCCCCCCGTCCCCCCCGGTCCGGTCCGGTCCGGTCCGCTCCGCCCCGCCCCGCCCCCCGGTCACTCACAACTCCACCATCCACTCCCCCTCCAGGATCTCCCTCCAGTTGTGGTCGGTGATGACTTTGACCAAACTCCTCTGGGCCTGTACAGCCGGTATTGGTGCCCACACGGCCAGGAGTAACAGCACTGTCAAACCGAGCTTTCGCCACCCTAGGTACCCGGCGTCCGCCATCTTCCCCCAACACATCCACTGCGCGCTGCGCATGTCAGCGGGACAGCGCGAAGGACATGCGCAGTCACAATGCGATTTCCAGGCTTTAGAGGGTCAGGCAGAGCAGCTGATTGTAACACAACCATGCAATGGGCATATAACAGGGTACAGATATTACAGGATAATGGACAGGGCAGAATTAGTTCCGACAGATTTAGAAGGCACTGGGAAGGATGCAGGGTGATGGACAGAATGTCTGAGTGCAGTAGTTCATAAGGCAGAGACATTCAGAATTATGCAAGATTCAAGGGCCATCAGTACCTCTGAATGGATACAATGCATATTTATTAACGTCGTGGGATACAGGTGTTGCTAGCTCCACCAGCATTTATTGCCCGTCGCTACTTGCCCAGAAGACAGTTCTGAATCAACCACATTACTGTGGGCCTGGAATCACAAAAAGACCAGACTAGGTAAGGATGGCAGATTTCCATCCCTAAATGACATTATTAGATCAAACCATTTTTGCACATGCACCAGCCCTTCCAGATAATATCCCCAGCGTCTTCAGGCACTCTGACCTGAAAGTGACAGAGCAAAGCATCAAACAGCCCAGTTTCGCTCATCTCGATTTACCTTGGCTCCTAAGGCCAGTTCAAACTCTCAGATTCTCAAGAGTGCATCCAACACATCTGAGCAGAAGCCAGCAATGCTCTTCCATGTACAGCGAGGCATTGTCATGCATGTCTCTGCTACCTAGGATAGGCACCTCTCTTAACCCCTGATCCTTCCAGATGGACTTAGCAAAAGTATGCAATACACAAATAAGCCAGGGGAGAGGGATTTGATTGAGACATTTTATGATTCCCAACCACTTGTGTAGAGCAGTTGGATCCAATTGCCAATTCCCTCCCCAATCATCCTTTTGGAAAGCACATACATCTGAAATGATTGTTGCAGTTAAGGGAGTGCCACCAACGGGGAGGAAATGGGGTATGTTGTCTTTTGGATGAGGTGTTAAATGAAATATTTGCTTGTTTAGGTGAAAGTAGAAGATATGTGGACATTTGCCTTCATTTGTCAGTGCATTGAGTATAAGAGCTGAGACGTCATGTTGCAGCTGTACAGGACATTTATAAGACCACTTTTAGAATACTGCATTCAGTTCTGGTCTCCCTGCTACAGGAAGAATGTTATTAAACTTGAAAGGGTTCAGGAAAGATTTACAAGGATGTTGCAGAGACTGAGGGTTTACAATATAAGGGGAAGCTGAATAGACTAGAGCAATTTTCCCTGCAGTGTCAGAGTCTAAGGAATGACCTTACAGAGTTTTATAAAATCATGAGAGACATGGATAGGGTGAACAGCCAAGTCTTTTTCCCAGGGTAGGGGAGTCCAATACAAGAGGGCATAGGTTTAATGTGAGAGGGGAAAGATTTAAAAGGGACCTAAGGGGCAACTTTTTCACACAGAAGATGGTGCATGTATGGAACGAGCTGCCAGAAGAGGTGGTGGAGGTCGGTACAATCACAACATTTAAAAGTCATCTGTATGGTACATGAAGGTTTTAGAGGGATATGGGCCAAATGCTGGCATCAGTTCGGATATTTGATTGGCATGGATAAATTGGTCTGAGGGGTCTGCTTCTATGCTGTATAACTGTATGATTCTATATCAAGACTTCCTTAAAGATGATCAAAGAACTATCGAAGCTAATATTTGGCACTCTGTGACTTAAACAGCTAACGCAAATTAATTATTTATCTCTGTTATTTTTAATATGTTGCTGTTTGAAAAATGGTTCTTAAATAGCCTACATTTCAATCATTAAAAAGTGTTTATTGGCTGTGAAATACTTTTGAGACAATCTATGAATCTAAAAAGCAATAAATAAATTATTTCTTTTCACTAGCACATTGAAAATTACCTTTGTTGAAGGCGATGATTCTTCTTATCAGAGTTTGGTGCAACGTTTGAAGTGTTGTGGATACATTGCAAGTTATAAAGCAAATCTCTCTTTTCTTCATCTGTGTGTAAGCAGGTTATGCTTTTCAACAATGGGGATGTATTTCATCTGTTACCTGTTTGTGGGCTCTGACTTTGTAAGGATCACAACAACACTGAAACAGTATTGAACACTTGTAGATACAATGAGGGGTATACTTCACAACACAGGCACACTTGCAAATGTGTAAGAGGAGACTAAATCGAAAGGGATAAAGAGATTATTCAATTAGCAACAACTTGAGTACAAATTAACCAACTACTTATCAACATTCTTGCTTGGTGACCAAAATTCCTTTGTGACAGTGATCAATTGGCTGTCCGACAGTTTCTTCTATTAAAAATTCCTTGGAACATCTTCTAAGGAATATTTCTGCAACGTACATTGCTTTGCTGTTTTGACCAAAGAAGCTTAATTACTTGCAGAGAGCTCAAATAAAGATTATCGGCTTGCTTTCTACATGCTGCAGACCTTACTTTTTTAGCTAAAAGTGATTTTGGTATTGTCAGTTGATGGAGCAGCACTGACCTTTTAACTGACTGCTATTTTGAACGTTTATGGTTAAAAGGCAGTTGGGTTCAGCACTGCGGGAGTCAATTGTCCAAGCGTTCTGGTGAACAGTTAACATTGAAACAGGGCTTGCATTGTGGATGGCTCATCTCAGAGGTTAAGTGAAAAGTCATTAACACACCATAAAGAATTTGACTAGCTTCTAATTTTATGGCACAGGAATCTTTCTTGGAGACACTTTGTATCTCTGGCGGCTTATAACGCTATAGTTAGCAGTTCCTTCAGAAAGTACAAGAGGCATCGTCTGTCCAGCTTACTTTGACTTCTGAGTGGCATCTGGAAAGTTACTGCTAAGTCTAATCACATCATTATAGTGGCCGGCTTCGTTAGGCTGCTTAACATGTTTTTAAACAGTCACTAAATATTTCTAGATTGCATTAAAATTGTTTTGTTTTAATCCATGAATGCCAAATGCAACGTACAATGAGTATTTTCCTTTTATTGCTGAGCAGATTTGATAAACAATGGCAGCTACAAACCAGAAGATCCCAACCTTGAAGATTTAAACAATTGAAGCTCTCTCAGACATGTGATGAGCAGAATGTGTTATAAGGAATGCATATTATGTGAGAAACTTCATATATGGACAGATATAATCACGAGACAGCTAAAATATGAATCCCATGCTTAGTAAATTTGTCCTTTCCCTTTGCCAACTTTATTGGATTTTCATCCAGATAGTATTACATAGGCCAGCAACATCAAAACTCCTCATGTTTTATCTAAGATTGTGCATTCTGAGAGCCCAGAAAGTAGTGCAGTGTCGGAAGCAGACACATTACACTGATGAGTGATTTGAGGTCAACATTTAATCACATTGCTGAGAAAAGACTAAAATCAGATTTGCTTCTGCATTAAACCTGAATGTCCTTGGAGTGATTGATGGTGACACTGGGTGTAAAAACAGACAAGCATTATCCTTACTCATCTCTTTTAGATCAACTGACAAGGGATAAAAATTGATAATAAAACATGACAATAAAAGGATATTTTAAGGGATAAAAATTTAGTGAAGAAAGTTTTGAGAAAGCTCCACCATATTACAATATAAATTACCTTTATTCATAGACTCAGAAATTTACAGCACAGACAGTGACCATTTGGCCCATCATGCTTGTGGCCTGTGAAATATCTCAGCGTAGACCCTAAAGAAACAAAATACATATGGTTTACCAATTCTGTTTTTTTTGTTGTTGAGAATATTGGCTTGCAGATCTAAATTACTCCAGTCAGTGAGTCATCTTATACCACAGCATTAAGGTTAATCTTGTCAAATTGAACATAATCAGGTAGAAACAGGTTCTGGCTCATTTTCAGGCCGAAAATAGAAAATAGCTGCAAGTGTATGCCAGGGGCCTGGGGCTCACTTGAAATTGGGCCTCAGGCTTCATTTTAATCACATAGGCAAGCAGCTGAGGCCTGTCATAGCCAACTGTTAACCAAATGCCCAGGCCTCCTGAGAATCATTCTGGGCCAATATGGTATTGGATATTTATCAAACGTCCTTTGAACACATTGCAAATCTGCTTGTTACCCTTGCTTTTTACTTATATAATGGGCTTAGTCAAGACTAATTTCTACATCAACACATTTCAAATTAAGATGTCAGACTGTCAAAGTAAAATTCCAGGCATTAATGAGTAATTTGTTTAATACATAAAACATTTCCAGCTAACAGCTTTTAGTTATTGTAAGCCTTTTGATCATGTTCTCTGTGCTATATTAATATTTGTTTCTTGTTGCAGATAGAAAGCTTTCACCACTTCAGATTATATCAGATGTGGTCTATTGTTGAATAAACTAACAAAGAATACAACTTTGCTAATAACTATTTGGATTCTGCTGGAGTAAAATAAATAATCTTTAAAAAAATACTTTTTTATAGTCAGCAGCAGGAAGCTACCTTCCTGTCTCGGAAAGAAAACATTTAATCATATGTCAAAATGTTTAATTGATCGGTTGCCACATACTATTGGCAAATTTTCAATATAGTACAAAAGTAAAAACCAAAAAAAGCTAAAAGTATAAAAAGAAATTTTCTTAATTTTCTTTCCTATCATTCTTAGCAGCTAGTTGATGCTTCTCAATTGATTACTATTTTTAGTATCGCTGTGGGAGAGTGAGAAAGACTTATGTTAAATCTTATTCCATCATTAATGAAATAACATGTACATTTCTTCTAACCTGGTACAGCTCAAATGGACCAACGCTTTCTTGTCAAAACAAGAAGTGATCAATTTTACCTATAAATTACGATTTTTGTTTGTTAATAATAGAAGCATTTACTCACTGCAACCTGACATCTTATCATTTGGAATCAAGGCTTAAATACTTAATACAAAAGCCAGAACAATGGCAAGCAAATTGAAAATAAATGTTACATGCAAGATCCTCAGATAACATTATTAATGAGGGAGGAGACACATGTTTATTGTTGTCACTGTAGAAGGAATAAAAGCTAATCAAATCAGAATATTCAGCGAAGATTAACGGTGATCTACTCCCACAGCTATGCTAAAAGGGAGTATCCACAGTAGACTGGAGA